AATTGAGTATTTGATCTGTGTGCGTTGATTTTCTATAAACTTGTGTCTCTAAATCTCCTGTGTTGGTTCTCCTGATTAAGACATTTAAAAATGGGATCTCGTTATCTAATTCTTCTTCTCTTGTGAATTTGTTGTCTTGAAATATGTTGTTTATTAATTTATGAGTATATTCTAAATCACTTCTCTTAATTATTACAAATGTATCATCAACGTAACGTACCCAGATTTTCGGTTTAATTTAGGTAGAGCTATTAACTCTAATCTTTGCATAACGGCTTCAGCTATTAATCCTGATATGGGTGATCCCATTGGTGTTTCTTTTATTTGTTTATATATTTGAGTATTGAATTGGAAGTATGTTGTAAGGCATAATTTTATGAGTTCTATCCAAGTTGAACATTGCGTTTTCATGTTTTCATCACTAAAGAGTAATTGTTGCATAGTTTCTGTTGCTAGTTTTGAACTAATTGAAGTATATAATGCTGTGACATCAAAAGACACCATTATTTCATTGTCTTCTACTTGAATATTTTTGATTTTCTCTAAAAGTCGGATTGATGAATTGATAGAATGGTCGCATGATTCTGTTAGGTAATTTAATTTCCTGAAAAGTTCTTTAGAAAGATTATATGTTGGTGTTCCTGGAAGTGAAACGATTGGTCGTAAGGGAATATTTGGTTTGTGTAGTTTCTGTCTACCATAGAATCGAGGTAAAACAGGTCCGTTAGATTTCATTCGCCATTGATCTTGTTCTGTAATTTGTCCTGATTTCGTTAGTTTATTTCAGGTTGTTCTGATTTTGTTATCTCATCATCATCATCTCATCAGTACATAACAGAATTCAAATCAATTAATTAGTTCCTGAGGTGTAATCAATGTCATATGTCTAGTCCTTGTTTAGTCAAGTTTGCAATGTGATCACGGACTTAAGTGGCTGGACACAGTAGTGTAATCTGGAATAATCAGCATGAAGCAATGAATAATCCATCCAGGTTTCCGGTTCGCTTACCCTCTTCAGTATGGCGTATCTGTAACCTTGAAGGAATTGATGTCCCCTTTGGGATTTAAAACAGCGTCAGCCAGTACTGTAGTCACTGTAGACGTTACCACTGAACTAATTTGTGCTTCCTCGTTGACATATCCATAAATTATTCAGTGGAGAAGAGTGAACTGCTGTCTAGCTGATGAGCACTTAACCTATTCATCTAAAGCGCTGTCACTCTGTCAGTCTATTATATATATATCAACACAATTATATAAATATCTTGGCTTTAACTGGACAGATTCACTCGCTCTTAAAGTGTCACCTACTCCAGATACCTTCAAATAAGGGACAAATCCCATTGCAAGTGAAATTAATTGACAAAGCATACTTTAGTTGTGATACTATCGACTGATTACCCTTAAAAGACAATCATTTATAAGGTAATAGAACTCAACACTTAAGTACAATGCACAAATTTGATAACTCTGCCTGAATCAGAACAACAGTTCTAACTCTTCGTAAGACAAGAAAAAGCTTTTTCAAATGTTGGTTTGCAAGGATTTAATTGGTTTCAGGATATCGTCATGAAATGACATCAGTTAGAGGACTAGTGGAAAACCTAGGAGTACTGGACACAGCTGTTTCGACCTAGTCTGAGACTCTTTTTGGAAGTACTCACCCACCACCACCACCACGGTTCGAACCCTGAACTTTCTGGTAACGAGGCGAGCTCGTAGAAGTCCATTAAGCCACTGGAATCCGGTCCGAAAACACTTTGGAAGAATCCGAAAAATATCATAATAACAAACTTTACATGGGTGTATATAAAATTTCAGAAATATTTTATTCGACGCAAAAGTCACAATGGCATTTCTTTTCTACAAAGAAATGAGCTTACAGGCTGCGATACTGAATTCCATGACTAAACCCCCGCTTCATTCGAGTTAACGTAGATGTGCAGATTAGGATTAGGAAGTTCACGATTAAATAGCACAGACTGAGGAATGCCACACAGTTCCTACACCCATTTCGGTTGAAGTTACTTGAGACAGGAGAATAACCTCTTGAACTTAAAATGTCTAATAATATAGTCATACGAAAATGGTTCATACTACATTTAACAGCTGCAACAGCTGATATGCAAGGTATCACTACAACAGTATGTGAGGGCAGACTATGGTATGTTCATTTAGCCAAATTATGTACACCTCATCCTCAACGCACCATCTGCACAGATATTGAGTGTTATGCTACTTCTGCCCTTCCTCCACATTGTGTTTCTTTGTGTTCCTTTCACGTCCCTTTCATGTTTCTCCGCGACGCTGAATCATTTGCTCTCTCTCTTTTATGAGTTGATCACGGATTGATATCAGTTAGAGAACCATTGAAAACCAGGGAGTACTGGACAGCTGCTGTTTCATCCTAGTTTGGGAATCATCGGCAGTACGCACCCAATGGGATTCGAACCCAGGAACTTCCGGTTACAAGCAAGCAAGCTCGTATACCATTCAGCCACTGGGACCCGATTCAATGGCCAATGCATGAATTCTAACTTCTACCAATTCGTGATTTAGCGCGACCTCAACCATTGTCGTTGGTGGGACATCTATCCACACACGTGACATCTAATTGGACCTCACTGGTTACGACTTCTCACTAGAACTCCAGGAAACTCCATGCTGTAGCAAGTCACTAGCGAGCATCAGATTAATTTTTCTATAGTTTGGTTTGTAAGGGTTAGTTAAGTTTTACGAGATGGTCACGGATTGATATCAGTTACCTCAAATCTATCTCACTGTTTCTGGATATTTTTATGCTGACGAACGTCTCTTTATATACATACCACTGATAAATTACAACTGTATAGAAAGGATTCTCTAACCATAAAATGTGCATAAGGGACAACAGATCTATTCACATGCCTGAAATGCTAAGAGAACCATTATGAACCAAGAAGAAGATGATAGACGTTTCGTCTCAGTTTTGAACTCTTTACCAGTAAGCGCGCATAATTTCATCAGGAATCTACCTTGTAATTAAATGCTCAGCTTATTTTGAAATATACGTCATTTTCACACTACTCAAAACACACTCACATCTAATGGCATACATGTAATGACAATGAAGTAGGAAGAAAACTTCACACTGTCACTTGGACTTCGGTTACCACCAATCAGTATCCTAAACAAATGAATGATGGAACCATTAAAATCCAAGGACTACTGAACAACTATTTCGCCCTAATTTGGAACTCATCAGGAGTACTAACCAATGACTCTACCCAAACTGAGGATCAGACTCAAGGTCTTCAGATTGCAAGCTGGTCCACCATCGAAACACTAAGACAGAAGTCCCAGTGGTCCATGAATTCTAACTTCTAACGATTCACAATTTTAGAGCGAACGCCAGCCAACTCTACTGGCTAGTATTTTGTCCTGATACCGACCTGGTGTACCCTATAAGTCATAACTTCTAAGTGGAACTCCAGGGAGGTGAGAATTCATGGATCATTAGATTCCATCCCAGTAGCTGGTTGGTTAATATGCTCGCCTTGTGAAATGAAGGTCCTAGGTGCGTCTTGTCGAGGAGTCTTGAACTGGGACAAAGGGGCTAGTTTGTAGTATATAAAGAGATGTTCATCGGAATAAAAAGATCAAAAAGCAGGGAGATAGATCTCACATCAGCGTCGCGGAGATACATGGGAGACGTGAAAGGAACCCAAAGAAACACAATATGAAGGAAGACCAGAATTAACACAACATGGAAGAACTGCGCAAATGTTGATTTAAAGATAAGGTGTACATAATTTGGATACATTATTATGTATATTGTATTATTGTTCACTTAGGTTCCGAGTGGAACATAGGGCTTCAACTACACATCTCCACTTTCTTGTATTTTCTGCAGTCCTCTTTAGCTTGGCCCATGGTAGCTCATGATCTCTCATCTCCTCCTACAACTCGCACGACCTCTCCCATGTCATCCTCACACCGACAACCCACTCGTCGCTTCCCATTGAGATTCCACTAGAACGATGGCCTGCACTGAGGGCGATGTCCATTTGACGGTCGCCTCAATGTATGCTCGGCCAATCCATAACCGTTTTCTCCTGCACATTTTTGTTGAACAATCGAATCTAGCCTGTTGGCTTGTTGCCAGATTTTCTTGTTATTTATTCTTTCTGGCCGTTTGATCTTCAGTACGTGAGCAGCTGTTGATGAAAGCTTTCAACATGCGGGAAATCCTTTACGTAACACACTGGCCAGATGTCTCCTGAAGCATATAGAAGAACTGACTAACTTCACATTTTTTGTGTTGAACAAAATCTGAATATTGTTCCTTATGCAGGCATAGTGCAGAAGATTTCTAAACCGGTTTCAGGTTGATAAAGGCGTGTCTTGTCTTTCCGATCCTGACTTCAACATCTTCATCCATTCAAACTGTGCTTTCTAGATAAGTGAGGGAAGGAAGGAAGGAAGTAACCTCTATTGATTCTCTCTCGTTGATTGTGATTGGTTCTGGTTGGGGTTATTGTTGCATTTTTTTGTGGATATCCTCACCACCTCCATCTTCTCTATGTTGTTCACCGGTAGTCCTGTCTTCACTGCTCCTGCTTCTTCGTCATCCAGTTTGTTGGTTGTTTCACTTTCAAGTCTTCGAGTCTGTGTGACATTAGGCATACACCAACACTGCCAAATCGAGATATTTGAATATGTAGATATAGATATACCAAATTGCAAAGAAACATTTTTCTTTACCAAGTCTGTCGTCTTCTACCATTTTAAATCAAAATTCCTACAAGAAAACCAGCACACATCAAAATACCTAAGATAGTCTTGGATTGGAAGACTGTTATTTTATTGACTGGAGATGAAATGAATTTCTGGATCCCGGCAAGATTCGAACCAGCAACCAGCAACGAATCACTAGTCTGATGGCCTACTAATACAACTGCTAAACAGAGATACGGTACTTCATCAAAGGGTTTACTTATTAAAAAAACGGATTAACTTACAACTTTCATGAAATAATCTGCCCGACATATAGATGCCAATACAATACAAATTGAGTTGAACACAATCACTAATAAATGTATGAAAATCAATGTGGGCGTTGGTCCTATACAGTTAAAGGAAAAAAAAAATAGAGACATTAGCTATTTATACAAATGCATTCAATTATAAATAAAAAAAAATATGAATGCGATATTATAGTGGTGATAGACATAAAGCCATAGGAAGGATAAGAAGAGGAAAGAAGCGAACAACTTAAGACTAGAAAATCAAAACAAGTGGGAATCCAGCGAAGAGACTCTTTTCAACAACGAATTTATTATCAAGCTGTACAATTGTATATATATATGGTTTTTTTAAGAAGTTATATCCGGTGAGGGAATTGAAACATAGGTGTGAATGCATGAAATAATAATAATATGAAATGCAATTAAAACTAAAATGTTTGTGATTATAATCGTAGTTAAATGTCAAGTGGCAAAGCAAATTAATGTCATATATAGAATAATTCATACGATGGATAGAACTTGAAAAAGGTGTGCATTTATAAGATTAGTAGACAAATCGAATAAAATGAAAATGTTACGCAATATTTTGTGAAATTTAATAGCATAGAATTTAATGTCGCATAAAGGAATTGATTTAGAATGACAAGTGGAACAAGTGAAATAATACCGAGGACAATTAAAAGTGAAAGTAGTAATAGTAACAATTGACATAATAAGGAAGAGTATACAAATTGAAAAGATAAGAATGAAAAAAATGAAAAAATGAAAAATTGGTAGAGCTAAAATATGATTAGGGATTACCATACTTTAGCATAGAGGGATTAAGACCATGAAAGTTGGATGGGTTGAACGAACTTTTTCTGTACACAGAGACCTGGCTTTTCTGTTTCGATATCCAAAGCTTCAGCGATACAGATGAGTCGGGTACGTAGAGATTTCGGTAAATTACTCTTTGCCTTGTAGATGACTTTGAAGGCGGAGGCTATAGATATAGGGTGATCATTATCGAACAGATGTTCAATGATCGCGCTTCTTATTGCTCCACTTCCACCTTTTCGAAACCATGCAGGATAGTGTTCTTGCAACCTCTTGGACAAAATCGTGTCGAACGACCGATATACCTAGCTCCACACGAGCAGGTGAATTGATAAACATACATAGAGTTGGTCAACAGCGGGATCTTGTCCTTCAGGTTATTGAACAATAATGGTCGACTAGAAAAGGCTATTCTCAGGGATGCAGCAGGGAATGTTCTTTTCGGGGACTGTGATATCCTTCGTTTCATGATAACGGAAGCTAAGTCTCCTTTGAATTCCAAGCTCATGTAAAGTATCTTCTTGGGTGCGGTTGATAAGTCACGTTTTAAAGGATTTGAATGTATATTCTTATCTATAAAACGTGGTGAAAATCCATTTTCTATTAGGATTTTCCTCAAGATGTATAACTCATCTTCCACAGTATCAGGGCTACATATGCGCCGAGTGTGAGTGGCAAGCGACCGGACCAGGTTTCGTTATCGACCAATGGGTACGCAGCTGTAGAAATTTGTCAGTTGACCATTCCATGACAGCTTACGACAAATCGATCTTTTCAGAGTTCCATCGGTCCTTCTTGATAAGTTCACATCGAGGAAATGAATGCTAGACTCATTCTCCATTTCGAGTGTGAATTTTATCGCCGGATGGCGACCATTAAATACATCTCATATATTATTCAAGTTACAATCACTATTACAAATAATAAAGGTGTCGTCTACATACCTTTTATACATTTGAAAGCTTTGGATTATAGGCTTCAGCCAATCATTTTCTAGACTGGACATAAAAAAGTCTGCACGGAGAGGACCCAAGGGAGAACCCATTGCAATACCATCCTTCTGTCTGTAGATTGCTTCATTGAAAGTAAACTGTACATTCAATGTACATCTCAGAAGTAGTTCTTTCAGATCTGTAGTGGGTATCTCTATATTCAATTTGTTGTCTAAGACTAATCAACTGGTCAGAGTGACAAAGAACATTCATCGCCAAACTAGTCTAGCTGAATAATAATCTAAGCAGTTCAAGCAGAATAAAATCAATCCTATTACACGTGCAGTTTGCAGTTGTTCCAATGAACAAAGCCCCCCAGTCAGTTATCAGTCTCTCCTTCCATCATGTTAGGCTATAGTAGATTTTAGAGCTGTCATCTTATCCCATCCCATCCTATTGTATGGTTGTGTGTAATTGAATGCAGTGTAGTGCTATGGCTGAACTATTTTTTCTAGATTTCTTATCTCATTAGGGGGGTCAACTAATCTTGATTTTGCTGCTAGGTTTTTGTGCTCGGCTAGTCTGACTGAGTGATCACATTCTGCAACTTTCATTTGTGTATTTGACCTGACAATCATCGCGGGCTGGGTATTTTTTTTATTCCTCTACGTTCCTAGTGGAACATAGGGTTTCAAGCTGGAGACTTGAAGTTTCTGTAGCAGTGTTTATTTTTACAGGACGGGGTTGCTAGCCTCATGCCCAACCACCTTTCCTCTTCACTAGCTTTTAGTTCTGGCTTAGTGAGGTAAAGGAGTGCGTCCAGTGGCTGGGGATCGAACCCCGGACCATGTGCATGGTCGGCGAGCGTCCTAACCGCTATGCCACCGACGCACTGGGCAGGGTATTAGATAAACTAAATTGTTTTATTTTAAAGGCTCCACAGGATTGATCCTTTTACCGACAAAGCTTGTTTCTAATTGAGTTTGTGGGTTTGAATGCCACTTAATGCAGAATCCTTAACAAGGCAGGAATAAAAACGTGCGATTATATTTACAATTATATATATCTAATAAACAAACTAATATAGTCGATAGTAGGTCTGCGAAAGAGGAGTGGTGAGAGGTACTTCAGCTGCAAGTAGACAACGGATGCAAATATAATGTACAGTCATCAGGTAGCCAACTAACAGCCCTGTCGTCAGTGACACCTTAGAATTATTGAGGCCATTAACTATCCAGTTCAGAGCCCTATACAACCTGACTAGTAAAGGGAAAACTGATGTATGTCCATAGTTTTTCAACAGAACATCTGATAAGCTCAAAAAATCAACTTCTTTTAGGAAATCCTTTATTGTATCGCATAATTGATCCTTTGAAATATCTCAACAGAAGTGAAATCATGACATCTGTGCATTGCTGAAGCATAAGAGACTCAAAAATTCCAAAAGAATGCTAAATATATTCAAAAGAAGCATAATCAACCTTTGTCCATACAATGGACATCGTAAACAGTCTATTTTCTCAAAAAAAAATCAATAATATATGAACACCCTTTTTTATTAGTCTTTTTCAAGAGAGATGAAAATGTTGAAAACCTGAATACAAATGCTAACAGCAAGTAACCATCCTCAGAAACCACAACAAAAATTCATCCTACCATATACAAAGAATATTTCTAAAATAACACCCAGAATATTAAAAATCATTCGGAACAGATATCGTACACGAAAGAACCGAACGATCCATTGGTCAAAGAAGACAAGATCAACATATCCACCTTGATAAGCGCTATACTGATCAAAATGGGCATCCCCTTCAACTCTGAGTCCAAGATCATGACCTAGTGAGCTGTTGAAAGACACTACGTGTTTTATTTCGTATTTAAAACATTTAGACAACTATGGACACTAATTTAATTGGGAGGATATGGAAATTTTCATTAGGAGAAACACTTAAAATGCTAGAGAATCCCTAAAATCCTGGTATTCAGAATAAGTTACATGATAAAACTGTTGAATACGAAGTCAATAAAAGCAATCATTTTTTTTAAAAATTGTAAAAAATGTTTGTTCCTTTACGTTCCCAGTAGAGCTCAGAGGCAGTGGCGTCTATTTTTACGGGATGGAGTTGCTACTAGCCTCATGCCCAACCTTTTCTCTTTACCAGTCTTATTACTGGCCTAGCGAGATAAAGGAGTGCGTTGGCTGGGTTGGGTTGAACCTCAAACTACATGCGTGGCTGCTAAGCATTCTACCGTTGTGCCACTGACGCACACAGTACCCCATGAAAAATAACAATCAGTCACAATAAAGGTTGTTGTTGTTGTCGTTCACGGAGAATTCAAATAAGTTCACTGAGCTAAAAATACTATCCAAAAGAGGACATTGAAAGCCTCTTAGTTAACTCTAGCGAATCAAAGTATAGGCAACCACATCGAAATCACAACCACATCCACCCGACCTACAAATCTTTTCAAAATTACTTGACTTCACGTTTTTTATTCGTTATACTTCAACAAATGGTTGTAAATAATTCTAAAGTTGAACTGACTAGGATATCAAAGCAAGAATCGGAAAAGCAAGACAAGCTTTCACTACTCTCAAGTCTGTGTGGAGGTCAACAACACTCAGCATCAAAAATAAGATCCGAATTTCCAACTCCAATGTGAAGTCAGTGCTACTATAGGGATCAGAGATTTGGCCAGTGCGTCATAAGGAGCATCTCAAACAAACTACAAACCTTCATTAACAGTTGTCTCTTCTCAATATTCAAGATCAGATGGCTAGGAAAGATCAGCGACCGGGATCTCTGGGAGCGAACCAACCAGGAACCGATTGTGAAACAAATAGGCAGGAAGAAATGGAGATGGATTGGCTGACCATACTCTTAGGAAACCATCAAGTGAAATCACTAGACAATCCATTGCTCGAGTGGAACCCGAAAGTGAAGCAGCGAGTTGGTCGTCAGTGCAAGGGTGACTTGGAGGAGGTAATGTGAAGAGGAGATGAAAGCATGTGGGCAGACATGGAGCCAGGTGAAGAATCTAGCAGAGAACCGAACTCATTGGAGACGCACGGCTGAATCCCTATGTTCCTCTAGGAATTAAAGGATACAATAATGATAATATCCGACTGCCTTGTTATAAATTCATGAATGTATAGCCTAAATGATGACCTCGTTTTGTAGAATAAAACTTTTGATAGTCTGAACTGAGTAATCCTCTTAACACCCTTGTAGTGCCTCTTTTTGCTGACTAATATATTATGTATGGATTGTGCGACTTGAATTTTTCAGAAATAATGTAAGTATAAAGAATGAAACGACAACAACAACAGCATATTATTAGGCGTT